CAGAATCCCCAAGGTACCCATGGGAGCGGTTTTACCAATACCTGCAGCCCACACTTCCTGAGTCCAACGGACCACAGGCGCCAGAGACCACCTATCAGCCTTGGACTCATACAAAGCGAAAGTGGCAGCTCTGGTTTTATCTTTACATGGTGGCCCTGTGGCCGACAGCTCAATTGCTCTGAGTCTCTCCGAGGTAGGTGTTGGAGAGCCCTTCAATACAAGAGGCGAAAGCTCCCGCGGGCAACAACCCACAGGTGACAATCTTGCGAGCTCCCTGACCAGCGACACGAACCAGTTGTTTCAATCGAACATCCCGTTGTTTTATGTTCTGAGTTATTTTGGCTTTCTTGGTGTCTCTTGAAACAGTAACCGATTGACCCGCTCTGAAGTCCGACCCAAGGTTGGTAGTGATTTGCTGTTACGCCCTGCCCAAGCTCCTAAGGCCACGTGGAACAGTGAGCCACCCCTGCAGAGATTCGAAAGTCTGGCGAGCTCTCCGCCGACTGCAATAACTCGCCCGCCCCGCAGGCACCCCCTCGCGGGCTCTCTCGGCTGGCTAATCTTGGAGGCAACAAACAAACATATTGCACGAACGTCAATGATGCAGGGCTGGCGCTATACCCCCTCCACACGCCGCGCTGCGCGCGCTGGGAAGCAAGAAAACCGCGCGGAGTTCCAACAGGTCGTGATCGTGCTGTTTCGTTGCACCCTGGATCGAGGAGCACCTGGAGACACCTCGTGCCAGCTCCGAGCACGAACCGTTTGTGTGTTGCGGCATGCCTCTCCCTTGAAGGAGGCGCGAGTTAATTTGTGTGTTGGTGATTTCGTGGACAGTTTTCATTTTGATATCGTCTTGCAGCAGAGGCGGAACGAAGAAGTACGAAAACAAAGCAAACATTGAAAACGTTGTTTAGCTCGCGTCCGTTTCCCCAGGCCCCCGCAGGGCCAGGGGGCCGAACAGTGCCTGGGCTGATCGGCCGCCGACCGAGCGCCGCTGCTGGACTGGCCGCCGACGCCCGAAGAGAGTCGACGTCAAGGCTCGGCACCGCCGAGAGGGAGATGGAAGAGATCACGCCGAAGGCTTTTCCCTTCGACGGAAGAATGCATCAACCGCATACAGATGAACTTTCGGAGTTCCGCTCGGATTTTTCAAATGAACACTGGAGGCCCCCTGACGGCGCCTTCGGCGCCGCCCCTGACCGCCAGGTGCGACGCGCTCCGATCCTACAAATTTAGGCGGAGCTCCGACAGCTTATGTTTATGTTGCGTTGTCTCCCTCTACTCGAGGAGCGCGCCTCGAGCCTAGCAGGAGATCGCATAGATCGCGCCGAAAACTATTCCCTTCGAGGGGCACGCAAACAAAAAACTGTACCTCAAAGCCCCGGGGGGTGGACGAGGGTCCGGGCCGTGGGTTTGGTATACCAAATTCCCCCCCTGCGGCGTGCTCTTTTGTGTATTGAGCGTGGCCCGGGGCTGTGGAATCTGACTGGGGCGGAAAGGGTGTGGTATACAACAAATCTTGGGGATTGAGGGGCGCGCTTCGGGCCATCAGAGGCCGATCCAGGGCGGAGAGCTGCCCCCAGGATGGGCCCCCAGACTGGGGGGTCCGTGTTCGGCGGGCTTCGAGCTGGAAGGATCGGAGGTCGATTGAATCCCAGACCGCCAACGCATTGAAACATAAAGCACATCGGTTTTTCTCTGTTCTGGACTTGTGGGGCCCTCGCCAGGCCCCGGGACCGCAACAAAAAGGACTCGGAATGACACACCGTCCCTGGAGAAAGGGCTTGGACGTCCAGGGACCCTGTATTTCAAGATCAGAGAGAGCGTGATCCACCGCCGCTTTACTATGGAAAATTCCCCCCCCCTTCCTCCGGAACCTGGGGGTCCCCCCCCCCTCCGAAAATCCCCTCCCCCCTGCTGGAACCCCCCCGCCCGCCCCCCCCCTCCCCTCCCCCGGCAAAACTCCCTCCCTCCCCTAGCCCCCCCCCCCCCCCCCCTCGAAAACCGAGGGGGGTCACTACCCGTTCGAACCCCCCCCCCCCTCCCTCGAAAACCGGAGGAGGGTCACTACCGGTTCGAACCCCTCCCCCCCCCCTCACCGCCAGCAAACGACTCCCGGTCCCTACCACACCGTCCGCACCACATCCCCCACTGTTGTTCCCAGCGCCACTATCCTCACCACCACTGTCCCCGCTGGTTTCACCACCGTCCCTACTGTCTCCACCAGTGCCCCCACCACTGTCGCACTGTCCCCAGTGTCCCCACCACTTTTCCCACCACGGTTCCACTCTCCCCACTTTCTCCACGGCCCCAACCACTGCCCGACTATCCCCACTGTCCCCACTGTCCCACTGACTCCTCCGCTGTCCCACTGAGCTATCCCACTGTTCCCACCATTGTCCCCACTGTCCCCACCACTGTCCCTACTGTACCTCTGTCCCATTGTCCCACCGACGTCCTCGCCACCGCCTTCACCACTGTCCCCACCACCACTGTACCCCACTGTCCCACTGTTTCCACCACATTCCCACTGTCCCCACACCACTGTTCCCACCATTGTCCTCACCACTGTCCCCACCACTACCGTCCCCACCACTGTCCCACTGTCCCCACCACTGTCCCGCTGTCCCCTCACCATTGTCCCCACCACCACCGTCCCCACCACTGTCCGCCCTCCCCCCCGGTTTTCGAGAGGGGGGGGGAGGGGTTCGAACCGGTAGTGACCCCCCCCGATTTTCGAGGGGGGGGGGGGGTTCGAACAGGGAGTGACCCCCCCCCCCCTTTTCATGATGGACTGGGGGAGGGGGGGGGAGGGGTTCGAACCGGTAGTGACCCCCCCCCCCCCCGGTTTTCCGGAGGGGGGTGGGGGGGGTTCGATCCGGTAGTGACCACCCCCAGTTTTCCGCCAGCAGCGGTAGAACACGCTCTTTCGAAGATCAAGGCATCGGATGTTTAGGTACAAACCTCGCGCCCTACCAAGTCGATCAGCGAGTTGCCCTTCGCCGGTGGTTCTCGAGAGGGCGTTGAACGACCGCAATGTTTACGGGCCTGCCCCCGTCAGATTTGGTCCCGAGTCGTTTTCACCAAAGGGGGCGTTGCTAAAGGGGACTCTGTCCACCCCCGCAAGAATCGCAGAGCAGTGGAGAAGCGGACGGTGTCGCGTGACCCGTGCCACGACAGGCAATCTGCGCGCGAAGTTTGCGCCGTAGAGGCAGGCTGCGGGCGGAGCTCGTCGGAGCGTGCCGCTGCAGCGCGCCGGGGGGCGCAGATCATCGCGACGCCAAGGCCATTTGCATCGTCTGCACCAACCGCATGGGTCCTGCGAGACTCGACGCACCACGAGGTCTCAAGCTCCAAGGCACTTGCCACGGTGGTCACCACCGTCGGCCTTGCCAGCGCCGAGCTCGACGCACAGATGGGCATCCATGACGGTGTGGGCGACCGATGGCGGCCAGAACCGGCGGGCCAGGCGCAGAACCTCCACCTGCCGTCTGGAGCACACGCGCTCATCGTCAAAGCATGGCTTGCACAGTCGATTCGGCCAGGTGCTCCGCGTGATCACGACCGCGGCCGAGGCCGTCCTGACGATTGTCATCGGGGCGGCGGCTGGAGGCGCGCGGGCGGCTTTGAGGGCGCCATTTGCGGCTGCAGAGGGCTGCGCCTGTGCTTCCAGTCCGCTGGAACGTGCGGGGTGCATGGCCATGCACGTCCGTGCGTGGCTGTTGCTCGCCTGTGCGCGCAGAGCCGTGTGCTTGCACGAGTCCGTGCGAGGGCGCGGCCTCGGCACGGGAGGCCCGTCGGAACGCAAACAGCGGCAGCTGCTCAGCCAGGCGGCGCGGGCGGCGTCGGCGCGAGCATCGAGGGGCGGCCGTGTCGTCGGCAGCGCCTCGGGAGCGCGGTGGTCCTGTTGGAGCAGGGGTGTTGTGGACGTGAGTGTGGGTGAAAGGGTTTGGGCGTGGGCGTGAGCGTGGACTTGGGCGTGAGTTTGGGCACCTGTATAGGCGTTGGTTCGGGCGTCGGTTTGGGCGTCGGCTCGGAGGTGGATCTGGACGTGGGCGTGATGAAGGGTTTCGACGTGGGTTTGGACGCGGCTTTGGATGTTGCTTTGGTCGTGGGTGCGGACGTGCGTGTGGACGTGGGTTCTGATCGTGGGTGTGGACATATAGATCTGGACACGCATTTGGACTTGGGGTTAGTATTGGGTTTCGGCGTGGGCTTGGAGGTGGGTCTAACAGCGTTCCACACGGATTCCAATCAGCGCTCCGCTAATAGGTTTTCGTTCACAAAGGCCCGGCACATCTGGAGTTCCGAACATTCGCTACCCATGCACAGAGGAGGCGAACGCACATACACTTATTTTGCGGTCGTAGCGGCGCGGCGGCTCGCCAGCGCGTCGGACGCCCGCACGGCCAGAACCGCGCGCGCACGCAGGGTCGCCGGGGAGAAAGAAAAGAGTAGACGGCCGACCCCTTCACGAGGCAGTGACCGGGTGGCGGCATGGCAGGCAGCGGGCAGTGGCCACGGGGCGGCGGGACACACACACACACACACACACACTCACACACACACACATGCACACGTTTGGCGTCGCGGCCCTGCGCGCAACGACAGGTTGGAGAAGATCTTAAAGCAGGAAGCGCGCGGAAATTAGAGACGACCGATGCCCGAGACACACGCACACACACACACACACACATCGGATTGCACGCGCAGGGTATCGCACAACATGGGGCTCCACACGCACAGGGTTGCCCACACCTAGGATTCTCCACATACTTGCACTAGTGACTGGTTCGGGCTCGCGCGCTGGCATCATCTACGTCCTCTCCAAATCCATCCATCCTCCTCTCTTTTCTCTCTTGCATCCCTCCTCCCCCGTCGCTCTCCTTCTCACCCCTCCCCTTCCCATGCCACATCTTAAACACCAGCGATCTCGTGGGAATACAATTCCCATTCCCCTCCCTCTCCCCCCCTCTTCCTGCTCCTTCCCAGTCCTTTCCCCTCCTCTTCCCCTTCTCATCGTCATCAACACCCTCCTCTTCCGCAATTAGCCATTTTGGCTCAAGCGCCACTCGAGGTCGCACCCCAGAGGTTGTCTGCAGTCGTTCGCACAAGAGTGCGCCCCAGATCGAGCAGTGGCGCCGGTGAAGTTCGACGACATCTCGAAGACCGCGAGCGCCATTCTGAGCGATGACTACCAGGAAAGGGGCTCCGTGCTCAAGACCAAGCAGAAGACCAGCTGGGATGGCGCCGTGGTGTCCGCTCAGGTGGACCTGCTCGGCGCCAAGGACTGCCAGACGCCCGCCAAGCTCACGCGGCAGTTCCCCACGCCGTTCGGGAGCTCCTTCGTCTGCGTCGACAAGCTCGAGCTAGACAAAGCCGGAAAGATGAAGCTCGAATGCTCCACCGACAAGGCGTACAAGGACCTGAAGGTGGAAGTCAAGTCGGACTTCGGGGACCTCTCGAAGGTCACAGCGCACTGCACCTACACTGGGCCCTAGGGCTACCAGCTGAAGCTCGACGCGTCGCCGATGGACCCCACGAGCTTCACTGCGGAGGTTTGAGGCAGAAGAAACTGCATACAAATACGCTGTTCGAGCTCCGCGCGCATTTCCTGGATCGGCGTTGGGACCCCCCCTGGCGGTGCCTCCGGCGCCGCCCCTGGCGCGCGGAGCACGCCAGAGGGAGGGGGGGGTCCAGCGCCGACCCAAGAGATCCGAGTGGAGCTCCGAAGGTTATATTGATGCAGCGTTTTTATTGTTCCTCTGGGGGTGACGTACGCCAGCGGGCCCTGCAAAGTTGGCGCGAAGTGCACCAGCAAATCGCTCACCGCCCCCGACCTCGGCGCCAACTTCCTGCAGGGCCCATACTTCTGCTCCCTGGTGGTGAAGGACAAGCTCTCGGCCTACGACTTTACAGGGCCAGCGACAGGCTGAAGGGCGCGGCGACGTACACCCACGGCGGCAAGGGCAGCGGCAACTGCAGCCTCGGCCTCTTCCACGAGCTGATGAAGGGCACCACCGTGAAGACCAAGGTGGCCCAGGACCAGTCCTTCTCGTTTGCCGTGAAGCACGAGGTATCCAAGGGGTTCACCTGGATCGGAGGCGGGAAGTACGACAGCAAAAAGGGCGACTACACCTGCGGCCTCTAGCTCAGCGTCGAGTGAGCCCGCGGTCAGAAGGGGCATTTGCCCAGCTTTGCCGAAACCAGCTCTTGCCTCCGGCGCTTGCCTTCCCTCTTATTCCGCTACCGGCCTTCTCAACCCGCGGCCTGGACCAGCCAGCCTGCGCTCTGCAGGGCGGTGTCCTTCGAGGGCGGCACATAAAGTAGTGCGTCTCCCGCGAAATGCGGCGCGACCGCCCTGGTCTTGTAAAGGCTGCTGCTTGTTCACAAACGGATTTCAATGAGTTTTGTGTGGCGCGTGCGCGGCTTCCGATCCTGCCAAGAAATTAGCATGACGAAGAATCCAGCCCTCCCTAATCACGTGGCGACTACACGCAGAACCGTCAATACGCAAGAACAAACACAGAGAGCGCTTCGCGGAGGAACGTCTGACTGCACTCAACACTCCTCATTCACGCACGCACTCTCGGAGCTCGCTCAAATCGCAAACGGGGGTGACCACGAAGAAAGTGAGTTGAGGGGTGTGCTGGAATTTGGCGGGGCGACGCCATGCGATCGCAACCACTGGAGCGCTCGCTTGGGCTTCATCTACGGCGACGAAACGTTTGCGGGGTCTACCGAAATGGGGCGAGGCACCATGCGAACGCAGCCACTGGGGCCTTCGGTTGAGCTCCCGATGGGGCCACGAAATATGTAAGCGGTGTACCGAGATGGGGCGGATGACCATGTGAACCCAGAATGGAGCGGGTCACCATTTGAACCCCGACACTGGGGCCGTCGGTGGAGCTCCCTATGGGGCCACGAAGCGTGTGACGGGTGCGCCGAAATGGTGAGAGTCACCATGTGAACCCAGCCACTGGGCCTTTGGTAAAACTTCCAAGGGGGCCATGAAACGTAACAGGGATGTGCCGATCTGGGGCAGCTAATCATGCGATCCCTGCCACTGGGGCCTTTGGTAGAGCTCCCAATGGGGCCACGAGACGTGTGAGGGGTGTGCCGAAGTGGGGCGGGCCACCATGCAAAGGTTGCCGCTGGGGCAATTGATGGAGCTCCCTAGTGAGTCACGAAACGCGTGAGGGGTGTGCAGGAAGTGTATTGGTACCGTGCGAATCCTGCCATTGGGGCCTTCGGTGGAGCTCCTGAGACGTGTCACGAAACGTGTGAGGGTGTGCGGAAATTTGGCGGGTAACCATACGAATTTGTCCGTTGCTGGGAGGATAATGCCGACACTGACATGCAGAAGGAACTTCAAAGGGGAGTAAGAGGAGGAGGAGGAGGAAGACGAGGAGGAGGAGGAAGAGGGAGAATGGGGAGGAGGAGGAGGAGGAGGAGGAGGAGGAGGAGGAGGAGGGAAAAGAAGAAGAAGAAGAAGAAGAAGACAAGGAGGAGGAGGAAGGAGACGCGCGGCGCTGCCGATTCAGCACGAGGACACAATCCACCGCAGGGTTGGGAAGAACTCACGGGGAATCCAGCCGCGGTCACGGGGAGCCCCCATGAGGGTCCAAAGAGGGGTAAATACGCAAAACATGTTGGAACCTCGATCTCCCCTCCTCGCGCTAGCCCCTTCCCAGAGCCCCCGGGAGAAGATCCGTTGATGGGCTGGGAGTGGGAGGCCGCTGGAGGCCCGAACAAGACGCCAACAGAAGTACAGAAACGTCCGAAAAGGGCCCAGTCCTCCTCCCCCTCCCCTTCCCCTCCCTCCCAGCCCGATCATTATCAGCAGCCTCCGCGGCAGCATCACATCATCAGCAGCAGTATCACCGACTCCCATCAATAACCAGCAGCAGTAGCAGCACCGCCACCTCACCATCGTCACCACCAACACCATGGCCGTTACCACTATCATCACCACCACCCCCACCACCACCATCCCTCTCTCCTCGCGCCCTCCCCCAGGCCTTCTCCTCCCCCGCCACCCCTCCCCGAGGGAAGGGTGGAGGGAGGGGACGAAAGGATGGAAGGGGAGAGAAGAGAGAGGAAGAGAGGGAGGGGAACGAGGGATACGAGGGCTGAGGAGGGAGGAGGGGGGGGATGGAGAGAGGAGAAGGGGGAAGAGGAAGGATGAGGAAAAGGGGGAGATTGAGGAGGGCCCAGACAAGAGATGTTGTTTTGCTGTTTTCAATCAGGTCCTCCCTGAAGTCCCAACCCTTTCTCGAGGGCCCGGCGAGGATCCAGGAGGCCGAAAACGGCCAAAAATCGTCCAGCGTGATTTTGCCACGACGCGGGCATGTCCAAGGGAGGAGGAGGTGGGCGAGAAGGAGCTCCTCTTCACCCGTCCCCCTTCCCCGAGAGCCCGCCTCTCCTCCCGCGAGGTCCCGGGACCGCCGCAGGGACGAGCGCGGCCCGAAGCGCGACGACCGAGGCGGCGCGGGCGAGGATGCCCCCCCACCCCGGCGGCGGCGAATCTTCCGGCAGACTACAGCAGCAAGACGACAGAGCAGCAGCAAGACTCGCCGTGGGGGAAACGGGGCCTGAAGTCTTTCGCCGTCTTCAAGCCCTCGGGGCCATCCACGGGCCACGGGACTGGCAAGAAACGCTTCAGGATGAAGAGCTGATCCAGGACCCGTTTCCCTCAGGACCCGTTTCCCGTATGCTAAAGCAAAGCTCGAAGAGGAAACAAATGCATGGACAGAACTTGTCGGAGATCATCGCGGAATTCTTCGATTTACACTGAGGGGCCTTAGCGGCGCCTCCGGCGCCACCCATGCCGCGCTCCGCGCGCCAGGAAAGAGGCTTTGGCGCAAATCCAAGATTTACGCGGGGACCCAAAACATTTGTTTGTGCCGCTGCTGCTTGTTTTAAAAAAAGAGACCGCGCCAAAATCACAATCTCTTTTTGGTACATTCTCACCTACATGCGATGTTCCGTACATCGTCTTAAGTCGCTCTTGCGCGGCAGACCAAAATGACCAGCCGCGCAGGGGGGGGCGGCCCTCAGGGGTAACTTTGGGGGAAGGGATCGGCTCAAGGTCGAGCAGTGACGACTCGTCTTGGTTTCCCGATAGTGGAAGAAGAATCACACCAGAAAAAATCCCCAACCAGCGGATGGTTTGAACATTCGGCAGGCGCCGAAGTTTCAAAGCGGCCCTAAATTCTGATTCCTTGTAAGTTTCCAAACGGTTGTGCATCCGCTTGCACTGGATCCGCTTAGCACTGCCCCACGAATGAGATCGATTGTGATTTGGATAGTAAGATCGATAATGCAATCGATAGTGAGATCGACAGTGGGATCGATATAGTTAGGGCGATAGAAAGGTCTATCGTGAACCCGATAGGGAAGTCGATCCAGTGAGAACGATAGTGAGATCGATCGTGCGATCGCTCGGGCGATCTATAGTAAGATCGATTGTGAGATCGGTGGCAAGATCGATAGCGAGATCGACAGATAAGGAGATCGACCAGGAACCCGAGCACCTGGAAATCTGGGAACCCCGCCGCCCACCAAAATCGACCCGGAACCAGCAGCCTGGAACCCGGGAACCCGGAACCGGGAATTTGGGAACCCGGCAGCCCACCGAAATCGGCCAGGAATTTTTGCCAAATTGTTCAACATAGGACCTTTCAGTGCAAGCGCTGATTGGGAACAAAGTTACATGAACATAAATTTTAAGGCTCCGCGCGGATTCCGTGGGTTGGCGCCAGGCCTCCCTGGCGGTGCCTCCAACGCCGCCCCTGGTGCGCTCCGCGCGCCCTGGGGGGGTCCAGCGCAGGTCCAAGAAATCCGCGCGGAGCCCCGAAAGTTTACGTATGTGCCGTTTTGTCACTGTTGCTCAGGGGCAACGTTTGGGAGGGATATGCTCGGGGTGTGGCTCAGGGTGGAGCAGTGACGACGCGTCTTGGTCTGTTTTTAGATCCACCAAGAATTGCCATACTTTCTACTTGTCTGCACAAGTTGTTATCATAACTGCATGACTGAGACCATACTGTCCTAAGACCTCGCTGTTAGGTTATACGACAACCGCTTCTTTCATTCGAACAGTAGCTCGTTCTCAGGGAACTTCCTGGCAGGCCTAGAAGGGAATATCGGGATGGTCGGTCTCTGCTCAACTCGTGGAACGCGTCGACCCCGAATCGCCTACTAATCGCCGAGAGGGGTGCCGATATCCCACCCCCCCAGGAACGTTTGGTTTCGCTGTCGGGGGCCTACCGTCGATGAGTCGGCGATGTTCAGGCCGGAGAATTCTCAGAGCACCCGCCACGGTGGACAAGCCGTGCTGCCTGGACCCACCCGTTTCGCTTGGGTGTACAGAGTGGTCAGTGGCACCTCCTGGTCTGAGGTGAGCGTTGCCAATGACGGTCGCGGACGCAACGCCCCCCCACCATCCCGCTGCCGCGCACTCCCCTGTACGGGCCAGGGTCGTGGGGGCCCTCCCCTCCCCCCCAAATTCGGTGCAGGTGGCCTGTCCTGGGCACGGCGCGTCGGCGCCCGCTCGCTCGGTCAGCGCCCGCCGGACAAAGAGAGTGTTTCGGCGATGTATTGCCGATTCTGGGACAACGTTCCCCCCCTGAGCCAGCCCCATCCTGTCGTTGGTCTTCAGGGCACGTGGAAAGACGACCAGGAGGGAGAGCAAGAGGGGGAGGGATGGAGTGACGGAGGACGTTGGAAGACGAGGGCGACCTTGATCTCAAAAAGTTTTCGACCCCTCCCCCAGGGGCAGTTTTCCGTCCCAGGTCCACGCGTGAAGTCCCACCAGAGGCCAGAACGAAGGAAAAGCGCAAGGTTTGACACAAATCAGTATGACCCAAGTTTGACCCCCTCCCCTTCCCCCGCCCGCCGACCTCGGCAGGATAATCCGAGGGGCCCAGATCAGAGGAGCGAGAAATTATGATGATGGTGCTGATGATGATGATGGTGATGATGAGGATAATGACGCTGATCATGTTGATTTTGATGATGATAATGATGGTGGTGGTGCAGATGCTGATGATAATGATGGTGGTGGTGGTGATGCTGATGATGATGGAGGTTATGATGATGATAGTGATCGTGTTGCCCCGCGCGGCCGGGAAACGCGCTGCCGAGTGCAAGCGGCCGAGGGCCGCTCGAAATCCCAGATTCCCCATCACGTATCCTGATCCCTAGACCCCCACGTCGCGACTTGCTTGCAATTCGAAACCCAAGAGGTCTGGACTTTTCCCCCCTCTTCATCCCAGGTTGTTGTTCGACGGCCCTGGGGTCCAGCAGGGCCTCTGGAGGCCGAAAGGGTCAAAAACACTTTGTCGCGATTTGTTCAAGTCGTCGAGGGGCGAGGGGGGGAGTGAGGGAGGGAGGGAGAATGAGGAGGAGGAGGAGGAGAAGGGAAGGAGGAGGAGGAGGAGGAGGAAGAGGAGGAGGGGACGATCGGCCGCGATACACCTGGCCCTGGTGGACAGGCACTTCAAACTTCGGTACGTGTTTAGGGTGCGGATGGAGGAACAGAAGGAGGATTAGGAGGAGGAGGAGGAGGAGGAGGAGGAGGAGGAGGAGGAGGGAGGAGGAAAGAAACGGAAGGAGGGAGGCGGACGGATGGATGGCGGCCACTGTGGGTCAGAAGCGGGCGTTGCGGGGACAGCGCCAGGAGGGCAGCCGGGAGGAGAGCCCTCCTCGGCATTACCGCGTCTTGCTTCCGCCCCCAGTCTTCCTCGGAAGCAGCTGAGGAGATCCAACCGATCATTTTGTTTCCAGGAGCTTGAAGCCAGGACAGACAGGTGGAGGGGGTGTCACCCAAGCGCCAGAAAGTGACTGGACGGGCCGTGCGCGGATGCGAGTTCCAAATGGATCCGCCCCGGGGACATTCAGTCTGCCCGCGTGGTAGCTGTGACCAGCCGGATCCGCTCCCAATCAAGACGGTTCTGCCCGCATCGACCTTAGTCTCCCCAGATCCTGGGAGGCCTGGGCAGATTGAGCAGTCGGAGACGGCGGGAACAGGGCATCAGGGAAATAATTATTAGACACCACCTTCTGCTCAATCAATCCTTGTCCCCGCTCTTCCGCCCTGCAACTGGCCAGGTCGAGCCCGGCTGAGCTGTAGGAGACAGTGAGAGCCCGATCCAGCCCACCCGGCCAGGGAGGGGGGAGGTGAAGGAGAGAGAGGCAGCCACCCCCGGCCTTAGAGGCCTGGACAGGATGAGCAGTCGAAGACAGTGCGTGTGGATGGACGAGGAGGAAGAGGAGGGAGGAGGAAGGAGAAGGCAGGAGGGAGGAGGAGGAGGAGGAGGAGGAGCAAGGAGGAAGAAGGAGGAGGGAGGGAGGATGGAGGAGGGAGGAGGAGGAGGAGGGAGGAGGAAGGAGGGAGGAGGGAGGATAGAGGAGGAGCCGGAGAAAGGTCTGTCGCATCGTGCCGTCGTCTTCGCCCCGCCGGGGAGCGGGCCACACGCGGGCGCCGCGAGCGCGCGACGAGGAGCGGCCCGAGCGCGACAGGGACCAGCGGCCCGGGCGCGACAGAGACAGGGACGGCCGCAGGGATGAGCGCGGCCGGGGCCGTGGCGGGCTCGGCGCGGGTGGGCGGTTGCTGTCTCTGGGCGTCGGCGAGGAGGAGGAGGAGGAGGAGGAGGAGGAGGAGGAGAACGACGACGACAACGATTAAGGACGACGAGGAGGAAAGGCGGCCGAGGAGGAGGAGGAGAAGGAAGAGGAGGAGGACGGCGACGGCAACGACGATGACAACGACGATCGAGGACGACGACGGCGACGTTCTACAAGGTCGAAGACAGAGGAGAGGAGGAGGGGGTGGGAGGACGATGGGGATGATGATGATGATGATGATGATGAGGAGGAGGAGGAGGAGGAGGAGGAGGAGCAGCAGCAGCAGCAGCAGCAGCAGCAGCAGCAGCAGCAAGATGATGAGGATGGGAAGGAGGAAATGGAGGAGGAGGAGGAGGAGGGCGAAGAGGAAGAGGATGAGGAGGAAGAGGAGGAAAGGGACGGAGGACGGAGGACCAGTGTAAACCGTTGCAATTAACCCTCCTCTCAAGTTCCGACCTATGAATAATTGGGAGTTGCCCGGTTGGAAGGCAGCCGTTTGATACTCTTCAGAACCAACACGCAGCTCGTGGGACTTCAGGGCCACGAAGGAACGCGACAGTTGCGTCCTGACGATCCTGGACCGTGCCAAAGCACTATTTGGAAGATTTCAACACCTCGAACCAACGTGACTGTTACGCCCTGACAGACAGTCCTAAAGCGTGCTAGAACACCCTTCCTGGGACGTCACCCGTACAAGTCTGTGATATGGCTGTAATAGCTCCAGACGGATGTGCAGGGCGTTCAGGTGAGAGGCACAGGTTGAAAAGAAACTGCCCTTCATCCGTGAAGCTCCTGCAAACTGTTCAGGCGAATGTGCGCGGCGCTAAGGCGAGAACCGTACTTGAAAAAGGAACCGCCCTCCATCTGTAAAGCCGTCGCACATGTTCAAGACGAATGCGCGCGGCGCGAAAGCGAGAGCCACACTTTGGAAAGGAACCGCCTTTCATTCCGTGAAGCTCTTGCAAATTGTTAAGGCGAATGCGCGCGGCGCTAAGGCGAGAGCTCCACTTGCAACAAGGCCCGCTTTCCATCCGTGAAACTCTTGCACATGTTGACGACGAATGTGCGTGGCGTTCAGACGAGAACTACATTTTGAAAACGAGCCGCCCTCCACCACCCGTGAAACTATTGCAAATTCCACGCTTCAGGGCCTCAAATGGGCAGGAACGTCTACGGCGGCCCGCCTGGCCCGCTCTACCGATGCGTCTCGGGATGCAATAGGCAAGAGTTATGTATAAGGAAATGGAGGAGGCGTGCGGGAGAGGGGGAGAAAAAGGAGGGATGGGAAGGGGGGGGAGCCGCTCGCGTCGTCACTCCATGCATCGTCCGGCTCTTGGGATTTGGAGTGCGTGCCGGGGGAGGAGAAGGAGGAGGAGGAAGAGCAGCAGCAACAGCAGGAGCCATTGAGGATGAGGGCCGAGGAGGAGAGAAGGTGGAGCAGGAGGAGGCGGAGGTGGAGGTGGAGGTGGAGGAGGAGGACCATTGAGGCGGAACTGGAGGAGGTCAGGAGAGGAGTAGCGGAGTACCATGAGGAGTGTGGGAGCGCGCGCGCCGCGGGCCTTTTGCGGGCCTTGAGCCGCCGCCCTGCCACGCCGTGGCGGCAGGCGCGCGCGGCACTTCTCAAGTGCATTTCTGGGGTACGTACTTGACGAGAGAGGACGAACGAGTAGAAGAGGAGTCCGGAGTCCGGGGCCTGCCTTTCTGAAAATTTCTTGCCGGCCGGGCTAAAAATATTATTCCTTACAGCTCTCAAGCCTAAAACGTAATCCGATGTCGTTACGTGGAAAGCTTCAGTGCGAGATGAGTCATGCAGCGTGTTGATCGGCGTCTGACACATAGAATCCAAAAGAGCGTTGCCTTAGAAGGCGTGCTCTGGGCGCGCCCCGGCCGCAGAGGCACCCTCACGCCGCGGATCGTGCGCCGAGAGCTTTAGACGTAGTGCCAAAGAGCGGCGGGACTCCCCCAGACTTCGGTGTAGTAGTTCTCAAAGCCGACGCGGCGAGCAAGCGCGGAGGTGGCGCCGACTTAGGCATTGTCGTTTGCAGAATATCCATCGCAACCTTTTTGTTTGCCTCACGGTGTTGTTGCTTCCGGGTCCTCTGTGCAGCATTGTTGGGTTTGCGGGTGTATTCCCGCGGCGTTGTCCGGTAGCGCAGCTCCTCCGTCTCGGTCTCGACCAAGTCGGCCTCGAGGAGTCGTTGGTCCAAATGAGGGATGTCGTTCACTAAATCTACATAGTCAACTCGAAGGTTGACCAGCGGCACGTTGCTCGAAAGTGGCAACCGTGTCTCCTGACAGCGGGCTCACACACGCTACCTGGAAGTAGTCGCCGTCTGCGTCCTCGCAGCGCTTGTCGATGATGACTTGGAGCATGCGGCCAGGAGCTAGCTGCACGGGAGCGGTTTGGCCTCGTATTTGTCGAGGGTCTTGCTTTGCACGCGTCTGCATGCGCTTCTTCTGGTCAGCAACCCAGATGTTCACACCAACAGACACATCGGCACGCCAACGGGAGGTTTCAGTTGGCCGTGACACAGCAGCACGATTGTCCCCATCACTTCTGGCGGATGCGTCTGCCTTGGTCAGGGCCTGGAGCGCATCAGTTTTCTCAAGGCCAGTCGCGAGCGCTCTCAATTATCTAATTTCTGGACAATCACATATTCTATTCTGAAGTGTGAGCTCCCCAGCGACCACACGAAGCGTGGCTCTTGTTTTGAAGCACCTACTCAGGCCACACCACGTACGTGCTAATCGTCTGAGCACCGCAATCAGATGCCCGTTGAGAGTGAAGTTACACCGAGAGTCGACACTTCCGAACGCGAAGGCAAGGTCGTTTGAAATCGAATAATAGCATCGTCGTCTTACCCCTTCCCTCCAGACAGGCCCCTTCTTGCCGCCCGTGGAAGGGGGAAAGGGAAGGGAGACGAACAAGGGAAGAGGATACGTCTAGGGATTGGGATTTGGGGTTTGGGGGTGGATTGAGAAAGGGGGGACTGGGAAAGAGAGGGATACGACATCTGCTGCATGCACCTGGTCTCGTCTCCGCCGCCAGGCGACTTCCTTGATTCAGTGGCGCCTCCGGCGCTGGGAGAATCAGCTACGTGAGCTGATTCGTTAACCCCGCCTTTCGTCCGACCCGCCCGGGAAGAGGAGACGTCCAGCGTGGGAACCGCGCGTACATGTACACTAAGGTATTTGTATCCTGTCCCACACAAAAGCACCACAGTGCCACATGTAGTGTATGATGTTCCGACCGGTTCTCCGGGCGACAGATGTAAGAATACATATACATTGTGTTTGGGCAGTTTGTTTTTGTCACTACGCGGTGGACAAAAACGACATTGTATCATGTACGCGCTCCTTCTCCCAACAGCGGCACGCTCGCGGATGGCGAACCAGGGATGGAGGAGACGTCTGGGGCCACCCTTCCGTGCCGCCTTGGAGCAGCGCCTCTCGTGACCGAAAACGGGAGCACGAGAAACACGAAGAGAAGGAAGAATTGCACGGGGAAGAAAAATATGACGGTAGCAAATCATCGGAACTTTGCATATCCGCAAACTTCTTTTTAGAAATATTTCAACGCGCTCTGGCGTTTGGTAATGGAAGCGAAAGCGCCGATTTCGCGTCGACTAGCGTCGGCCAGCGCCGATTCGCAAGAGCCACCAAGATGGCATGGGAGACTCCCATCAGTTGCCACCGAAAGAAGTTCTTCGGGTCAGTAACGTTGGCTCACCGTGTCGTTCCGCCAATTTTGGCCAACCTCGCTTCGGCGCGAAACGCTGTCCACGTCCGAACCCCCGAGCGTCAACTTCCCGAGCCTTTCCCAGCTTCCCGCACCAGTGAGCGGAGCGACATGCCATCTGTTTGCACGGCATAGCGTGTCACCGGGGCCGCCACCGCGACACGCTATCCAAAAGTTCCTGACCTTAATGTTATTCCCAACACATCACAGAGATTACACTTATCGGTGCGACCGGAAAAGGATACGGAAAGAACTGTAACGAAGGCGAGCAGCTCTTCCTGCCCATTTTGAACAGGACTCCTCAGCGTCGTCGCCACGGACAACATCCATTTGAGACAAACGTCGCCTGCCCGACAACGATTGCTGGTGGTTGTTGGACCACACTCGCTGTTGGCATCGCTGTTGGACCACCTCTATGGTGCGGACCCTCACGGCCTCGCGGTTTCCCGACCCAGCGTCCTTGGTTGCCGTTTTGTTTTGAAGGTTGCTTGGAGCCCACATCATCCTCCAGAGGTTTCCAGAGGCCTCCCCCCAAAAAGCAGTTCAAAAACCTCGACCGTCGACGGCGACAACGACAGCGGTGGGCGGACGGCGGACGACGGCTGCGGCGACGTCGACGACGGCCGACAAAGTCGATGGACGGTGGCGGCGACGACGACGACGGCGACGACGGCGACGTACCGACCGACCGACAGACTTCTGCACCGCATTCTGACGGGAATTCCGAGGCGGATCCAACCGTCGCCATAAGGGCCCCGAGAGAGGCCCAAACTGGGCCAAAAACGTCCTCGATCTGCGAACCTCTAATCTCGTCGATGCCGACGACACCGCCGGCGACGCCGACGATACACGAAGACGACGACGGCGGACGACGACGGACGACGACGACTGACGACGGCGACCTCCGCGCCATCGCCCGGGCCACCGAAGGCCGCCCGAGGTTTCGAAGGCCGCCGCCGCCGCCGGCCGCTCAGCGGCCAGTCGACAATGACGGCGGCGTGCCCGACGCGCGCGCGGAATTTCACCCTGGACACGTGCCCGCTTGCGCGAGCCTCGTCGACTACTGCGAGCGACGACAGCGTGCCTGACGCGCGTGCGTGCCTCGCCAGCCGGCAGCGGCACCGCACCTGAGGCGACGATCGTGAGCGCGAGCGCTCGAGGAGGCGCAGCAAGAGCCGCCCCCCGCCGCCCACCGCCAGCGCCCCGTCAGTCGTCATCGACGACCGTCGTCGTCGTCGTCGTCGTCGTCGTCCTCGCCGCCGTCGCCGTCGCCGTCAAGGTTGCCGGCGTCGTCGACGTCGAGGTTGTCGGGTATTCGTTGTGGGTTTCTTGGGGCGCCTTCGTGGGCACGGCTGGGCCCGCCTCACATTTCTGCTCAGAACACGCCGCAAGAGAGACCTTGGGATTATCGTCGCACGTCGTTGTTGTCGTCGTCGTCGTCGTCGTCGTCGTCCGTCGTCGTTCAGGGTGCCTTAGTATATTCGTCGCCGTCGTGGTCCGTCGTCCGTCATCGTCGTCCTCCTCCCCCTCCATCCCCTCCTAATGTTCACCTCCTGGCCCCTCCCTCCTTGCTCCTCTTCCTCCACATCCATCTCGCCCTTGTCTCCTATCCACAGCCGTATGCACATCCTTCTCTTTCTCCTCCTCATCAACACATCCTCCTCCTGGCAACCCTTCAGGTCCTCCTCCTCACTATCCTTCTCCCTTTCTCTTCCCCTCCGAGGTTCTCCCGCGCGCATGCGCGCGATCCCATGCTCGCTGCAGCGCGCGCTCGGACGTCGTCGTCGTCGTCGATCGACTCGTTGTCGTGTCGCTGCTGGTGTAGTGGTTTGATGTGGTCGTCAACGAGGTTCGAGGATGGCGTTCCAGGAAGCTTTGGGGCATTATTGGGCCTCTGTGGGCGAACCTCGTAACCACGGCTGGGTCCGCCTCGACAGAATGCACCCAAGGACAGGCCAGCCCAGTGTCGTCGTCGTCGACGTCGTTCGTCGTCGTATTCCGTCGTCTTTTCCGCCGTCGTCGTCCGTCGTCCGAGGTTTTCGTTGCCACGGGTGGACGGGGCTCGGAAAGCAGGGCAGGATGAGGCTCAGGAGGGATCTTGTTTCAGCGGATTTGCGCTTGAACTCGTCTTCGTCTGCTGCCGTCGTCCATCGTGGTCGTACGTCGTCGTCGTCGTCGACGTCGTCGTCGTCTGCCGCCGTCGTCGATCATGGTCGTACGTCGTCGTCGTCGTCGTCGTCGTCGTCGTCGTCGTCGTCGTCGTCGTCGTCGTCGTCGTCGTCGTCTGCCGCCGTCGTCCATCGTCGTCGTCTGCCGCCGTCGTCCATCGTGGTCATACGTCGTCGTCGTCGTCGCACGTCGTCGTCATCGTCTGCCGCCGTCGTCCATCATGGTCGTACGTCGTCATCGTCGTCGTCGTCGTCGTCTGCGTCCGTCGTCCATCGTGGTCGTACGTCGTCGTCGTCGTCGAGATTAGAGATTCGAGGCGTTCCAACACGTTTGCTGTATTCCTGGACCTCTGGAGGGGAACCTCGTGGCCACGGCTGGGTCCTGGCCAGAGCGTGCCCCAGGAAAGGTCCTGGGGTCGAAATCGTCCGTTGTCGTCGTAGTTTGCCGTCGTGTTGCGTCGCTTTCTTTGTCATTCGTCGCCGTTTGTCGCCGCCATCGCCAACGAGGTTCGAGGATGGTCTTCCTGGACGCCCTCGTGGCCACGGCCGGGTCCGATTCGAAATTGCTGACGCGTCGCGTACCCCCACCAGTGGACATTGCCCCGCTCACACCAGGTGGACATTTTCACAGAACACACCACCGTCCCCCACACCAGAGCGGACCCTCTAAGGAATTCGTCGCCTTCCGCGCGCAGCTGCTTAGGGACGCAAAGACGATCATCGCCACGCATGAGGCGGCAGAGTCCCTCAAACTCGCTGCACCAGTAGCCCTGCTCATTATCGATGAGGCATGGCCGCAATGTCTCTCGACAGCGTCATACGCTCAGGCGGGCACCTGGTGCTGGTCGGCGACCCCAAACAACTCCCCCCCACCGTCCTCTCCAGAAAGGCGGCCGACCGTGGGCTGTGCCTCTCGATATTCGACCGGCTGCACAACGCGTTGGGTGAGGACACCTCAGCAGTGGTGCAACTGAGCCTCTGCTACCGCATGCACCCCCTTCTCCTGTCCTGGCCCAGCGTGGCCTTCTACAACAAGTCGATACGGTCAGGTCTCACCGACCCCTTCAGGCAAAGACCGCTGGTTGAAGGACTACCGAGGCGAGAGATACTGCCTTGGGAATTGCGAGACTCGAAGACCTGGCCAAAGCCACTGCCACCACCTCGGAGGACTTGGAAAAGTTGATGAGGGACCTCCAGCCCGCTCCCCAGCGTCCAGAGGAGCGGCATCGGTTCCTCCTGGTTGACAACCCCTCCCTCGAGGTCTCGTCCAACCTCCAGTCAGGATACGCGAACCTCCCAGAGGCCGCGCAGGCAGTGGACATCGTGCGTGCGCTCCTGCCCGCCATGGGAAAGGGTACTACAATGCGCGTCGTGGTTGGCTACCAGTTGCAATGTGCCGTCCTTGAGAACGGCTGGCCCCAGACAGGACGTAGCCTCAGCGGCTCCCTGGGGCAGACCAAGACCAAGGAGAAAGGAAGCGGCAAAGGTGGAACAGGCAAAGCGAGTAACTACACCACACTCCCCCCCGAACGCGACGACGACTGCAAAGGGACACGAGCGCGTGTTCGAACAATGGAGTTCCCCCATTCACTGGAATCGGCCTACGCTTCCCGGGGCTGCGTCAAGTTGCGGAAGAACACCTTACCAACGGCAGACTCACCATCTCCACCATAGACTCAAGCCAGGCTGGGGAGGCTGACCTAGTTATATACCTGACCACACGATCCAACAGCTGGCATGACTGGGGCTTCATGGACAACCCCAACAGAGTGAGCGTCGCAATCGCACGTGCCACCACCAATGTGGTCATAATCGGGGATGGAAGGATGTTTAGCTTCGCCACAGGAGCTCACCTGAGGGAACTCTCGGAGCACGGGAGGCTCGCCAAATTATGGGTCCGCTTCCAAGGGACCAACTTGGGCAAGAGAGCGCTGCTTCAAATCGATAAGGCATTCGACCCCATTGGTGACCTTACGACGTGGAATCCCCCCGCCCCCACACACAGGGGACGACAGCATAAAAGGCCTAGACGACGCCATCAAGAAGGCCAAAGCCTCCATGGAGAGCAGCTTCGCAGACCGTATCGCTGCACCACTCGACCCCCAGTTCTCGTGGGACAAGCTGGGCGCTGCCCTCACAGACAGCATGCGAAAGCTGGTTGGCGACCCTACAATGGGCATCCTTCTCTGCACAGTGTCCGGATTACATCCCCACCGCTGGCACATGGGGGCCACCCCCAGGCAGCCGGGCAGCCTAGACAGGAAGGCCTGGAGTCACCTAGGGTACTGCTTGGACGTGGAAGTCGGAATCGATGCCAGTAACCTTGTGTACAACCTCACGTGGGCGGCCCTGGTCTGGTTCCTCGGACTGGGCACACCGCGGCACGACAAGCAGCTAGGCGTCGCGCATGACTCGCCCCCCCCCCACTGCCCCACGTGGTTGGGAACAATCGCCGCCCCAAGCCCTCAAGCCGTTGCACCCCCCGGGACACGCTCCCCCAGTTCCCCGCGGCCTAGAGCAGCACCACCTGCTGGTGTAAACGCCGCAGGATGCACCCGGGAATGGAGCATCTGCACTCCCTGCTCAGCCCCGATAAGATCGACACAGATCTCACCGCCCTACTAGGAGGCGATGGGCAGCCGGCAGCCCCTCAGTCCCCCCACACTCAGAGTCCTTCTGGTGGTGATGATGCTGCAGCTGCGTGAGCCTCGCGCTACACTCTGGCCCTTCCCATTCCCAGAGCCCACGGGCGACGTCATAGAGGCTACGATGGGCCTCTGCCTTCCGTGGCAGGAGGCCCACAAAGAGTTCCGCACCCAGTTCGCTGAGACGTGGGGATTCCAACTCACGGACTTTGCCTCCCCCCACGCCAAGTTAGGGCAGGTCATTCACCACATTAGCACGTTGGCCACATACGCTCATCACCACGAGATTGCAGCTGAGCCCGAATGCCCCAGGACATGGGCAGGAATGCAGGAGCATGACTTCACCCTCGAGGCCCCCTTACGCGCACTGGAGGCAATAGTCCAGCCCGCGAACGTCAAGCAGCTAAGCAGTGGAGACTGCCCCATCTGCCAGTTGCACAAGACTCTGACGGGATCAGACTTGGGGCTTGGCAGCCCACGCACCATGGAGGACCTGCAGTACATAGGGGGCGGGGTTGCAATTTCCAACCACCGTCTCGACGAAGACATCCCGGCCTCCCCGGCCCCAGGAACAACGCTGCCCCCCCCGATCGTTCGCGGCGACCGCTTCCGCAGGCTGCAGAAGGGCGCCACCTGCAATTGCGACGGATGCACCAACGCAGGACTGCAGGGGGCAGCAGGCACTTGGGAGGATGACGACACCCGGGAACTGCTTGCCCAGAACCGAGCTCAGGCGTACACGAAGGGCAAGAATTGCAGATGGCTCTGCGAGCAATGCTGGGTCAGCTCCCTGGAAAGCAAGGGGATGCACGTCCCCGAACCCAACTCAACGGAGCGCAATACCAAGAAGTCCACGCAGTGGCTACTACAGGAGTACAAGCGTAGAGTGGACGACGACCGTGCACGCAAAAGAGCCAGGACTCCCCCCTCACTGTCCAGGCTGCTGCTGGGGTTCGGGCAACCGACCGACGCCCCAGCCCCAGCCTCTCTGAAGAACCTCGTCATGCGCACGCCGCGCCAGTCCCAGCCAGCCAGCGCAGGCACCACACTCCCACCGCACAGACTCACCGACGGCAGGTTCGGCACCGAAGTGCACCTCACCCAGTTGTACACGGCCACTTGTGACACCGGTCCCCCCAGTTCCCCCCTGCTAGAGCGGTTGCCGGGCCCCCTGCCCTTGGCTGCTTCGTGTGGCGCCCAGAGGCAGACGCAGACTGCAACGAGCAGACAGGCCTCCCGCCGTGGGGCGCAATGCCCCTGCTGTGGATCAAGAGGAAGTGGAACGCAGGATGGGCATGCAGGAGGTGCCTGGTTCACATCTGGAACATTGCCCCAAGCGCCCTCGATCGAATACTTGAC